AGGGGTAGGGGTTGACCAGTTCGTTGCATAATTGCGTCACGTTGTCCGGGAATCACACTGCCCGTGCACACTAGCACGTTTTGCAAAAACTCGCGGCAAACTGGATTTCCCTCACCCGCGTGTGCTTACACGCATGTGCAAATATGCTCCACGCGCTCACGCGTAAAACACGAAGAGAGGCATCACCTCCTTCGACTACATAAAAGATTTTTCGTAATGTTACACGTAACGATACCTAATTGAGCGCGTTTGAGCCGATACGAGTCGGAACATGTTAACAAAGTTACAGTTACATTAATATGTAATCGCACGCAGTTTTATTAAATATTAGCAAAAAGCAGCATTAATGAAGATAAAAAAAAATTCTTTTTGCGTTACTGTAAATTTATTTAAAAAGTTACAATAAAATATCGCGTGGGTAGTATGCGAGAAAACAGTAACATATTGTTCAACATTAAGATTTTAATTTTGCATTCGCACTTAGAATAAATTAATCGACTTCTCATGCGTTATCTACTTCTGCATGACTTAATCAGCGACTACTCTCTAAAAGTCAATCAGTGGATTATCACTGAAAACAGTGAATAGTCACTGATTTACAGTTATAAGTATACCACTGCAATTTTCAATATATTTCAATCCTACACTTATAACTGTAAATCAGTGACTGTTCATTGTTTTCAGTGATAATCTACTGATTGCTTTTTAGAAAGTGGATACTATATTTTTCTTATCTAGTCAGATTTTAAAGAATCAATTCATTTAACTAATTTTTCGACATTTTAGTGTAAAACGCGGCATATTCCGTTAAAGAATCTCCAGTCGAGCTTCTTCATGTAATTCAGTATCTCACAGCCGCGATTTTTCGTAAAACGTTTCCCGGCGTGCGCGCACAAACGTAATTTGTGTCCGTCGCTCGCAGCCTGGAACGATTAAATGATACAAACGATTAGACGGCCGCAACGTGAAATTATTAACACTGGCGCCAGTTACCTCACGTCCATACCCTTCGCCGCGTTGCACTTTTTTCCTACGTTCTCTTTCCTCCCTTCGGTCGGAAATATACCGTCACTCGAATCAACGTATGTTTTTAGCGGCCCTTTTTCTTTTTTACGTGACGCGGCGATTCATCTGCAGTTGCATAGTTAGATAACGCAGGTACGTCGTTCTTTTCCGCCGAGTCGAGATTACTGTGGCTATCGTTTATAACGCGGGATTTATCGCTAAACATCCGACAGTCATGTCTGGCTTAACGAACTTCACGAAACCACTACATTTAATGCAGAAAAAAATAGTATCAGTAAATTGAAGGGAAACAGCGTTCTCAATTATAATTATAAAGCGGTGCGAAAAATAAATTGAAAAAATAGCAATTAATTTGTGACAAACACAGCTGAATAAAAAAGTGATATAAAATAGTTACATTAACGAAAAATATATTATTAATAGAAAAAATGTCATAGTGCATCATTAAGGCATGATAACTCATTTAAAAAGCGTTTGTTCAAGCCGAACAAATATAACTAGCCCAGATGATATGTATAAAAAAACTAACTACATATTATAATTAACCCGCTTTTTCACTGCAATTATGTAACCGTTTTACACAATTAATAAAACCATGTCAACAATCAATAAAAATGCAAATCTAACTATCAATATAATTCATCTACCGATTTCTGCGCCGTTGCAGCTGCAGATCTGTTACGTCACGCGTTGACTTTATTTTGACAGTTTTCACTGCTGCTTTCGTTCTCCACTACGACTTTATTAAATTAGCTGCGGGTACTTAAATTTCAGAAAGTTGCCACATTACGCATAGCTCTCGAGACTATCTTGTTTCCTCCGAATGCACTAGATATTTCGAAACAATTTTTAATCAATTACATACTCGGACTTCATTATATATGATTAATAACTAGCAACTGTTGCGATACGTTTGATCGCCGTCCAATCGCTGGCAATTATAACAGTGCGCAGCGACAGGGCGCACC